TGCGATCATACATGAGATGATCGCGTAAACTGTCAGGCAAAAGACGAACCAAATGATAAACGATAAGCTCATCAGGAGTCGCAGCCGGCAGCTCCCGATGAATATCGTGCAGATGTTGAAGCGCTTGCTCCACAGAACGCACTGGTTTGGCGCGTTGCATACGTCAAAGCGCATTGTAAGTTGAGGCGCCGGATGACAAGACAACGGCTTCAGTAAACCAGTTCAGAAGCCAAGAAGCGTTGGGAATGACCGGCGGAGTCAACGCTGAAAGCGACTTGCGAAGATCTGTCACGAGGGACGCCAGACCCACGCTTAAGACGACCCAATTGGTGGCAGCTGAATCAGAAAGAGTGTAGCCTGCCAAGTCGAGGTAGCCAACCAAATCGTCGACCAAGAAAGAAATGTAGTCGGGCAAACTCGATTGCACCTTGGCCGCAGCGTCTGCTGAAACAAGGCGGCGTCTGTCGGGCTGCGGAGGATCGAGGGGGCGCAGGCGCTGAGTAACAGTGCCCGGCTGTGAATCGGACATTGTAGCATCACCGTTGACTAGCATCCGCGATCACCTCGAAAGGTTCACGAGGATCCGGCAAAGCAAGCACTGGTGTAACGTGCAAGAGCAGTTACATAACTCTCAATGCTTCTCTTCAACGGGGTTCACTCAGCTATTCTCAAGACCTTCCTTTTGCGACGTCGTACATTAGTGCGGGTCGTACACTGGATGGCTACATCTTCTCTGGTGTATCGCATCCGGTGTCTTTCGACACCACCATGACTGGTTGTGATAGGCATTAACGTAACATTAGGATTGCGCATCGCTGCCCGAGCATGTCAAGCATTCCTTCGTTAACCCCAACACCTCTGTGGTGGATTTACATCCTGACTGATCCAGCACCATCACAATTACCCGGCAACTGCAACGTCAGGAAACACGATCTGCCAAGACAAGAGCTGGATACGATGCAAACCATCCGAAAACCTCGGCAACTCAATCACAGCTCTCTAACATGCCCCCAGGCCGCCATACCACGTGGCCCTTCGGTGCAATCCCATGAACCCCCCTCCTCCTCCCCACAAACCCCAACACACAATACCCTGAGTTCGATAGTGTACATGACCTACATGACCTTCCAGTACGTGAATCCCCACAACAGTAGCTCTGCGGCGTCCATCCTCCCGCGCGTCCGTCACTGCACTCTTGTGCAGTGTGCAGTGCAGTGCAGTGCACCAAGCCTGCGATGCAACCTACGGGTTATTCGTAGGGGCCTCTAAACGGGAGATGAAAACTTGGAAGAGCGCCTTGCTCGCTCCTATGTGTTGGTAGCCCATCCAGGCGCCGGAACCCGCGCCGATACAGCCATCCCCCACGGCGATTAATTCAGCAGGCCGTAAGCACCGCTGCAAAGGTGTAGCAGTGGTCCAGGGGCGAGGAAAGATCCGCCACGTTGACTTCGGAACCACCGAAAAGAGAAATGGTCCTCCTCCGCGACGCTGATGTAGTCAGCAAACGCAAAGCGAATTCCTGCATAATATGCCTTTTGGGACTGTCCATGATAGTCAAAGGTAGTCGAAGTAGGCAGACCCCCGCGCGCGCAAAGATGCGTTGACTCGCTCAATCAAAGTAAATGACTTGACTGTTCTCGTCGTAGAAGCCGTCTTGGAAGCCCACTTCACTGTTGTACGACGGTACGACCCAGTTCTCCGACGCACCCTCCGGCAGCGGCCGCGAAGGGAGCGGGATCACGGGTGCCCGCTGCCGCTGCCGCAGGTACTGCGGTACGTACTTCATATCGGGCCTTATGAGTAGGGGCCGCGTGCTGGGATGGGCGATGGCGGCGGCCATGCGAGCCTCCCGTGCCGTACGCTCCGCTGCCTCCGCTGCCTCTGCCGCCTCTCGCTGTGCAGCGGGTGACGGGAACTCCGGCAGGATCTTGGGCGCCTCGGGCAGCTGCGTGTTTGTTTGGGTTGCGGTTGTGGTTGTGATTGCGGTTGCGGTTGTGATAAGGTTTCGGTTTGGGTTTCGCAGGCATATGAGTAAAGGCATGCGGGTTGCGCGTGCTTTGGGTTGGTATCGGAATGAGGAGTGTTTTTCAGGAAATGCAGATCAACAAACCTGACAGCTGCGTGAATGAGAAGACGACTTGTAGATGACTGCGAGAGAGTGGAGGACGCCATGATGACACAAAGTAGGCAAAAAGGACATCCATGTAGATGCCGTACATGCTTTGTGTGCATGTAACATGTCTCTCCTTACCTCTAACGTGACGTACAGCATCTCGGGGTTAACAGGCGCCGTCGACCGCACCTCTGCCGCTGCCACCTCGGCCGCTGTCCCTCTGCTCTCACTGCGATCCATCAATCCGCCAGCAGATCCCCCGCGGGCTGTTCCAGACGCCGCCGCCGCCGCTGCCGCCACGGCCGCCGCAGCGGCCGCGGCAACCGCAGCAGATCCCCCCGGACCTTGCCTGGAGGCCTTGCGCCGCAGCGGCTGCAGCCGCAGCGACCGATTGCCTGACGTTAGACCCGTACGGGCCTCCGCCGCCATCAATACGTTGGCGCCGACGCTACGCCTGGCGGCGTCGGCAACCTCGTCGGGCCGTGGCGACCCCGTGCCGTGGGCGCTGTTGGCTGCTGCTGCTGCGGCGGCGGCCTGTCCCACAGCACGCGCCGCCGCATCCGTCATGGTGCTCTCCGCCAGACCCTGTCAGCAAGGACCAGAAGTGGATGGGATCGGCGCCGGGTGATATCAGGAGGCATCGGATGTCGCCAGGTGGCACCGAGCACAGGTTGAAGCTAGTAACGTGATAAGGGAAGCAGGGCTCCGGTTGCTGTAAGCGGGCTGCCCCGGGCTGCATGCATGGACCTCCACCACACCGCCCCTACCTGCGCATCCCGAACCAGCATCGTCACAATACCACATTATCGCACATCCCGCCGTCTTTCCGCACGCTAACAAGCACCGCCTGTTACCATAGTACTACTAGGATAATGATAGTAGTGGTAGAGTAGTAGTACTAGTAGTAGTAGTAGCTGCGTTGCATCCCCCTTTCACCGTATAGCGGGAGCAGTGGTGACGTGCGATTACGGTCTTCCCGTTCCGCTCATGGCTTTTCACAGCCGCTAATCCTCCCCGCTAACCTGAGGGTCATGCAGCTTGTCGCGAACCCAGAACGACCTCGCGGGGTCATCCACCGCCTCTGACAAAGTCGGCGATGCCGGCCGGTGCTGAATGCGGCCGCGCCTCGTACTACCTGCCCCCGCTCCTTTTGCCGCCGCCTCCGTCGCCTCTGCCGCCGCCTTTGCCAACGCCTCCGCCTCCGTTGCCGCCGCCTTCGCCGCCGGCCCCATCACCGGCACCGGAATCGACTGGTGGGGACCGGCCCGTCGAAACAGCGCTCCAGAATCGTGCGGATGCGGCAGCGGCGGCAGGGCCCTCGCGGTCGGCGGCGCCCGCGGCGACGAGCCCAGATCCAACGACTGCATCAACGGCATGTACGACCGGTCCTCCGGGATCAAGTCCAGATGCGGCGTCCTGTTGTTAAAAGGGCTCTCCATCGACGCCGTCGCCGCCAGCCGGTGCACGCGCTCCTGCAGCGGCGCTGCCTCCGCAGCGGCGGCAGCGGCGGGCGCACCCACCACCGCCGCCGAGTCGCGGTATCCATGGGGGTTCCGCGGGCTCGCCGCCGCCGTCGTCATTGACGGCATCTCTTCCGGCAGCGGCGCCGTGTCCGGCTGTGCGCGTATCTCGGGGTCCAGCAGCACCAGGGAGTTGCAGGAAGCCCCGAGACTGAGGTTGCTAGGCGACGGTCCGGCGAGGGCGCCCAGTGGGGCCATAGACCAGGCGGAAGGCGACTGCGCCGCTGCGCGCTCGCGCGCCAGCCGGCTGGGCGACGTCGTCAAGCGCCAGTCGTCGGCGGTGACGGAGCCGCGGGCGCGCAGCAGCCGTCCCTTGGCATCCCAAGGCGCCGTGGGGATCAGCGTGACGGATGCACGGAGCGGCGACGCCAATGACGGGCTCCCGCCGCTGATGGCTGTGGAGAGGGAGGTGCTGATGCTGGTAACCGCACCGCTACCGTGCTGTCGTACAATGCTAGTGGTTGCGGCGGCTTTGTTCGCGAGCAAGCAATTTGAGGCGCCAATGACGGCGCTAGTGCCTGGCGGTCGCAGCTGCTGCTGCGGCGGCGATGATGCTGACTCATGTTTCTGATCATGCTGTTCCCCGCGGTGGTGCGGCGGCTGCGGTTGGACCAGCTGTTGGCTCGGGTGGTTTACTGGCCGCAGCAGCTGCAGCGCCACTGCCTGTTTGACGTGCACCTGCATGCCACCGTTGTGCTCAATATTTAATACAGATAATCTCTTTACAAGTGGGAGTTTGGTCTAGTGGTATGATTCTCGCTTAGGGTGCGAGAGGTCGTGGGTTCAATTCCCGCAACTCCCCTTTTTGGACTCATGGGATGCAAGTAGATTTACGTATTGAGTCAGAGCGGGGTGATGCATGCATGTATATCTACGCACGGCGTTGTTGTCACGTGTGAATAACAGCACCCGCAAGGCCCTGTACGACCGTGTACGTTCCTGTACGGCACACACCAACCTGTGCGCTCATCATGGTTGTCAGTTCATGTAGGGGCACGTAGGAGCAGTCCCAGCTGAGACGGGAGGTCTCCACTTCTGAACCTCGGAGGTCCTGAGGGGACGGTACCGCAGAGGAAAAGTATGGGTGTCCGGGAAGTATGCGAGGGAGGGTTTTCGCGTAGAGGAAGGTGGGGGGGTCCAAGAGGGGAGAGGGACACGGTGCCGCAAGGTGCAGAGCGCCTACCTTGGGCACGGTCCGGACGTCGAACTGCCTCGCCTGGCGCACCGGCCCCGGATCCGCCATGGCCTCCGCCTCCAGGCCGTGTGCAGGCATTGCGATCCGCTGGTCCCCGGTGGGGTGGCCGCTGCGGTCCTCCTGGGTGGTGAGCTGGGAGGCGGCCAGCAGGGAATCCAGGTAGCGGCTGTGGTTGACGCGGGAGGCGTTGTAGCGGGCCTGTGTGGGATGGGACGGGATGGGATGGGATGGGATGTCAGGAGTGCGGGATAAGGCAGGCGAGAAAGTTGGGGGATCGTTGACGAGGAGGTAAGGGTTTGGACGGAGGTCGGGCAAGTGAAGAGGGCAGCAGCTATATGGAGCCGAGGACTGAACGGCAAGCTAGAGGGGTTGTTGCGGCACGGATGGTTGATGTCATGAGGGAACAGGAAGCGATGGGGCAGGGCGGGGCCTACTACAGCCCGCCCCCCTTCTTCCCATCCGCCGCCGCTCAGCTAGCGCCTTTGCACCGCCCTCCTACACCCTCGCGACCCATCACAGACAGACATACGTGCATACACCTGCATGTTCCCACCTGCGCAATGAGCTCCCAGGATTGCGCCTGGGGGTCGTACGGCCGTGCCAGGGACGCCGCAATGGCCTCCACCTGCGAGCCATGCAGTCAAAGAAATGATCACGGTTCCGATGTTTGCGGTAGGGTACGGCTCGGTGCGAGAGCGGCTGCGGGCCCAGAAGCCTCACCTTCCACATAACTCACCGCCATCCCTCCAGCCCACTGTCCCGCTGCATTGGCCCACTTACAACACAAGCCTTACAAACATTAGGATTCTTCCTCACGGCATCGCCACCACCAACACCAGCTGTACCCCGCTCCAACATCTTTTTTAATGCCATGTTCGACCCCCCCCATCCACCCATTGCTAGCCCCCACCTGGTTCCATCCCTCCAGGACCACATCGCGGGGCCGCTTGGCAGTGGAAGCGGCAGCGCCACTGGCGCTGCTGCCGCCTTTGCCGCCCTCCTTGCCGCCTTTGCCGCCCTCCTTGGCGTCCTGCTGCTGCTGCTGCTGCTGGCGCTCCCTTTCATGGTGGCGCTCCAAAATGGCTTCCAGCTCTGGGCCGTCGTCCTGTAAAGGCAGTCCAGTACCATAATCCTGGCATGCGCACGGCCCTCACAAATACCAGTACGACTAACCATGTCAGGTACGGCAAAAGGACGAGTGACAGTGACGCAGCAAGTGGACACCCCTGTTCCGCCGCTGCCCCGCCTAGTGGTTGGGTGGATGGGCGGGTGGATGGGTGAGTCGTAAGTAAAGAGCTCGCTGCAGTGACTGGGCGGGTGGTGGGTACCTCGCCAGCCACCACGTGCTGGTGCACCACCACTGTCTGGTCCCCAGAAGACGGGATCCACAGCGGTGCCCCTGTGCGGCAACAGCTGCCATCAACAGTCTTGATGAGCAGCAGCAGCTAGCAGTAGTCGCCAGCAGCTCTAGGCCCTCCGTCAGCAGGGGCATAGCAATCAGCAACAGTGGTGTGGCGGGCAACAGCCCCTCAACAGCAACAGCGTGGGAGCTCTCGGCAGCAGCCGTTACTTACGTCCATAACGCGGCGAAGGATCTTCTTCATGGGCGCGTTGAACAGCGACAGCTCCAACTTCTCGCTCAGCACCTGTGCATCGGCGAGTGGCAGAGGGCGGGAGAAGGGAAAGGGGAAGAGGAGGGAAAAAGCTGGGGAACAGAGCAAGGGGTTGGGTTCCCACACCCCGGTTAGGGGGAAGGACCCTTCTGTCCTCGGCTCTTGCTCTATGAACATAACCCACCCACCCAAACACACACATACATACACTTACACCTCATGCCATTAGCGCACTAGTATGTCACGAGGCCTACCTGCACGGCGATCTGCTTGACGGCCCTGCCGTACAAGGCAATGTCCACCTCCGCCACAGCGGCCACCACGTCCGCCGCAGCGGCGCGGCCCAGCGGCGACGTCAGCAGCCAGGTCCGCAGCGCGGGCATGTCCAGAGAGATGACCTTGGCGCTGGACGACGATACCACGAGCGTGTACCTGCGCCAAAACGGAAACGGTTCATGACCCACGGGTCGCACTTTCAGCTAAGCAAAGTGGCTCCTGGCGCTGATGGGTAAAGGTCTCAGCTAGGTCATATCAGACGCATGGGTCAATCCTAGCCAAGCAACGGCCTCTGACCCCACGCCTACCATAGCGGCCGTGCCGCCAGTAGGCTCAGCTCTCCGCAGGTGGCGCCCTCCCGCAACGTCGCCAGGTCCAAGGTATCTGCAGCATCAGCAGCAACACCAGTCGACGACAGAGGGCAGCAAGAGCAACGGCAACAGCAGCAACAATAAAAGCAGCAGACATGGTGCATTCCACCTTTCCCCCTCAGCCCCCGCCCGTGGGCCGTGTCGCGCTTTCCAGGTTCCATGCGTTCAGGCCCGCTTCCCCACACGCCTAACCCTAACCCCCCTCCCTCCCTCCCTCCCTCCCCGCCCCTTATTCCCCCTCCCCCCAGTTCCACACCCACCTGCCACAGTGCCGGGCTCTTTCAGTCCCACCACTGGTCCCCTCATGACGCACTCGCCCGAGGCCACCAGGAACACCACGGGCGCCGCCTCCCCAGCACGGAGAAGCTCCGTGCCCTGTCAGGAGCAGAAGCAGGAGCAGGAGCAGAAGCAGGAGCAGAAGCAGGAGCAGAAGCAGGAGCAGAAGCAGGAGCAGAAGCAGGAGCAGAAGCAGGAGCAGGAGCAGAAGCAGAAGCAGAAGCAGGAGCAGAAGCAGGAGCAGAAGCAGGAGCAGAAGCAGGAGGGAGGGGAATAGGGAGAGGGAAAAAAGGAGAAGAGTACGAGGTGGGGAAGCAGGATTAGGGAAGAGGAGGAGGAGGAGGGGTCAGGGAAGGCACTCGATTAATGGACGCGGACTTGGAGGAGATGACCGCGGAGACGGGACCCATTGACTGACCTCCCAGCTCAGCCAGGAAAGCAAGGAATGAAATGTGCCAGAAATGAAACAAGTGGGTAGTCATTGGAAAGCATGCAAAAGTACAGAACAGAGCAGGAAAGCATGTTAAGGGACGCCGTGGGGATGTAAAGTCACGCAGGCGCAGGCGCGCATACACACACACACACACACACACACAGGGCATGTACACGCGCACGTGCACGTGCACACACCTGCTTGTGCTCTTCCAGGCGGTAATGCCCTGTCAGGTCAGTGGCGAGGGCCTGCGGGTGCCGTACAACAGTAGAGGAAACGGACCGAGCTTAGGGTGTGTATGTGTGACCTGGCGACTTTGCTAAATTGGATCTGGGTACGAGTGGTTGCAGTACATTTGGCTGCTAGCCCGACTACGATATTTTTCTGATATTTTCTGATATATACGCTGTTCGACTTGATGTCCACCTTCTTGACATCTTGCCTGCTTGGTTACTGGCCAAATGCATTTTACCTTGTGTGACGTTTCCTGTTTCCACCGACGTTTCCTGTTTCCGCCGGCTGTCCCCCTCCCCCAACCCACCTGCAGATCCACACCCATCAGCCAGTCCACGTGGCGGGCAAGCACCGGCAACACCCCCGGCGGTACGCTGCGACCAATGCCGTTTGACAGCAACTCGAACATGGTGCGGCTCATGCACAGCACCTCCGCACCAGCAGCTGTGCCAGCGGCAGCGCCGGCAGCGGCGGGGGGCCCCGCCTCCGCGGCCGCCACCACACGCGCACGCAGCACGCTGCTGCCCAGCGGTAGCACCTGTAGCAACTGCTGCTGCAGCTCCTGCGGCGGCGGTTCCACCGCCGATTGCTGCTGCTGCTGGCCTCCGGCCGCCGGCGACGAGGAGAAGGCCGCGGCGGCGGCCTCAGCCATCGCTACACCGCTGAAAGCATCGCCCGGATTTGCCACCTGCAGCTGCCGCGGCTGTGCCGGGTGGTCCTCCCTCTCGTCGTGGTCCTTTTCATGCGTCTTGTCAAGATTTTTATTGTGGCCTTGATCCTGAGCCTGACCCTGGCCGTGGCCGTGGCCGTGGCCGTGGCCGTGGCCGTGGCCGTGGCCGTGGCCGTGGCCGTGGCCGTGGCTGGGGTCATGGCCGTGGCTGAGGCTGTGTCGGTGGCCGCGGCTTTGGCTGTGACGCCGGTCATTATCGGAACGGAGTGAGGAGCTGGAGCGCTCGGCTGTGAGTTGCGGCGGGTGGGATTCGCCATCGGCGGTCGCGTCGGCGTCGGCGTTGGCGTTGGCGGCGTCCGCACCTGAGTCCGATTCCTCGGGTAGCAGCATCGCCTCCAGAACTACGGTTCCACTCAGGCACCAGTAAGTCCTGCGGGGAACACGAACAAGGAAAGGGAAACACGAAAACGGGAGGTGTATACAGGCGTATGCGCGTGTATATGGAAAACGCCAACCTGGAATGCGTGCGATGTGTGAGAGGTTGCAGCATTTCAACAAGGTACAGAATTTCGTCCCAAAGATAATAATCTGCGAAATTGCACGGGGGGAAAAGCGTGGGGCCGCGACAAGGAGACAAGTGTTGATGCGATGCTATGCGGCGTCTGCTTGTTTGGTTCTAAGCGGCTTGTCGGAGGAAAATGGGTGTAAATGGTTGAGGAAAATGAAGACCGGACCGAAGGAGCAAAGGTCTTAAAGGGGATGATAGCAGTTTGCCTGTTGGTAGCTATTACCTACCGTACGTACAATGCGCCTTCGTCCCCCACTCCCAGTTCGTCCTTCCCCCACTCCCAGCCCACCGACTCCTCCACCGCGATACCACCCACCTGTCATCAAGCTTCTCCACTACAGCTTCTCGCCTCGGCTGCGTACCCGACCTGCGCGGCGCGATCGCCGTCAACCGCTCCTTAGACGGCGGCGCGACCGTATTGCCGCCGCGCGCCGTACCCTCCGTCGGCATCGCCAGGACCGACATTGCAACAAAGCTGTCCCCCTGCGGCGTCGACGGCAGGATGCTGCTCGCGCTGTACGATAGCGGCTCCGAATCCATGGTCCCAACGGTTTCGGCGGTGCCGCCGCGCTGTCTTCTGTTCGTGCTGTAAGGCGATGTAGACGGCGGCTCCGAATCCATGGTTCCAACGGTTTCAGCCGTGTCGCCGCGCTGTTGCTCCGATGCGTTCGAACTTGCAGCGCGTGGCAGTAACTTCGGAGAATTGATGGGCCCATCTGGCAACACCGGAAATTCAATACCGCCGCCGCCGCCGCCATCGGCACTGCTGTCGTGTGATCCATGTAAACCCTTCGCTGCCGCCACCGCGTCTGCCGTTGGCTGACCGCTAGTCGTTGCCATGGCCGCCGCCCTGGCCGTGGCGAACGGTGATCCCTTGTCGTCGCCATCACCGCTTTTGCTGTCATCGGCGGCGCTTTCCCGCCGCCGCAGCGCCAGGGAGGGTATTAGCGGCTCCTCCTCACACGGATTGAACAGCGCCTCGACGGGGTGCGGGACACCAGGTGCGTTGGACAGGCGACGCGAGGTGTACGGCTCCAGAACCTCGGTGTTGTTGCCGGCGGCGGGCCCCGCCAACCCCACATCGCCCGGCTCCGATGCGGATCGAGAACTCGTCCCCGCGAATGTAGGGCTCCGGCAGGACGGCGACGCCGTGTATACGGCAGCAGATGCCTCCCTGGGCAGGGTGCCCGCTGACGGTTCGCTCGAGGTCTCCGCCAACCCCCCTGTCGCGTCCAAGTCAAGCCCTCCGTCGACAGCAGGGAATTTGTCGGCGCTGGCAGCTATGGGTACCTCAGGTAGCTGAGTCATCGAGACTGCATGCGCTCGTTCCTCCGACTCGCCAGCGGCCGCTGCCTCAGCCACTCCATCCGCCTCCGCCTGCTCCACCTCCGCCCTTGCCTCTGCCTCCGCATCGTCGCGGCCGGCTTGTGTTGCATCGCCGGAGGCGCCAGCGGCGCCGATGGCGCGACGGCTGCCGTATTTTTCCGCCCAGGATTTCTTGCCGCCAGTCGTTGACGGCGGCAACAACGTCAACGACGGCGCTGAAGCTGGCGTCGGCGGCGTCGGCGGAAGCTGCTGCAGATCGGGGACTTTGGCGCCGTCGTCAGTTGCGGCTCCTGTGACGTTAGAGCCTCTACTCCCGGGCTTACCAGCGGCGCTTCCCATGACGGAATTCCAGCCCGCCGTCGACGTCGCCGCTGGGTCGTACGGCGGCGGCTCCGGCATATCTCCGGTGTAGCTGGGACTGCGGGATGGCAGCGATGACGGCGCCTCAGATGGCCGAGGCATCCCCACTGTCGGCCGTCGCACCACTGCCGCCACACCCGTATCCGCGTTCAGCGCCACCGCGGCATCAGCCGCCTCCACTCCCGCCTCGGCCTCGGCTCGGTCGAGTGATCGTGCTTCTGGTGGCGCAGCCGTGGCCGCGTCGTCCGGCGGCGTACTGCCGTCAGCAACGGCGGAGTCGCCACTGCTCCTACTCCTGGCGTCCGGAGCACCTTCCGCAGTTGCGGATGACTTGCGGTAGCTGATTTCGGAAGCCCGCGGCGGAAGCTCCGTCACCTCCAGCTTGGCCAAGTCCAGATGTTCCCCAGGTTCCAGCTTGCGGTATTCCAGGTCTTGAAACACACGTAATCGGACCTTGGGTGGGCGTGGGCAGGTACGGGAATGCAGCAACAGACATACTTTTAAGTGGTTTAGCAAGTTTTTATGGTCTTCATTTAGGTGGCATGGATGAGGGTTGTTACAAGGGACATCGCCGTCTACATAAAAGCGATCTATTTTATCGACAGGAGGGTTGGATACGAACCCCTTTCCCTACCTGCCACGTCAGCCTGGAGAAGGCGGGAAGGTGGCTGAATGCTTGCGCCAGCAGCTCCACTTGCCAGGGCTGTCGATGGCCCGGGGTGGAGGTGGACAAAATGGCGCGGATCTTGTCGGCGGCTGCGGGCCAGGTCACCTGCAGGAAAAAAAAGACGGCGGCGGATGCAGCGGCGGTTGTCAAGGCAAAATGGGGTTCAGCGGCAAGAAAACCAGGAAGCACTTCAGACTCTTCATACCAGCTTTCGGGCGGTGTGCGGGCGGGGCACAGAAGGATGCGAAACAGGCTTCGCTTCGGATTTGGCAAGAAAAAAACCCAGAGACTTGGGACGGTGCGAAACGTATGACATGCGCTAGAATGTAGTGGAATCATTCCCTGGAAATGATTTCACTACATGCTAGCGCACGTCATAGCGCATGTTCCACACCGTCCGACACCGGCCCCTTACCCCGACCCATTTACTACCTGCGACGTGCCTCCCGGTCAGCTGCCCTCTGCCATCGGGCCCCGCTGTCACCTACCGGTCCGGTATCCTCCACGTGGCCGCTGGCCGTCACCAGCCGCCGCTGCGCCGCCACCGCCGCCTCCGCCAGCTGCGGCAGAGCCTCCGCCGGCAGCAACGACCGCAGCAGCGCCGCCGGGATGAGGATGTATTCGCAGCGCTGAAGCGCCACCGCGCTGTGTGCCGTGAGCGGCCTGCGCAACGCGACACAGCACGCAACAATGTAAGGCAGCAGTGCTTCAAGTTCGGGTCAAAGTTCCCCCGGAGACCGTTTGTCCATTTCCCTTTCCCCAACCCCCTCTCCGTCCTTGCAGTTTGCAGCTTTTGACGTCGGAAAACAATCCTTTGTGTTTCAAAAATCTTCTGCATAGTTTAGTGGGAAAGGGACTGGAGGGACGACTCACACCTGACCGTAATTCCTCCCTTTATCAATCGCCCCGTTGCTCTTCACACGGCCGTTGCCTGACTGTTCACCCACTTGGATGGCTTCAGCGCGTCAGGCTCCTTCGTCTCCGGCAGAGCCTCCTCGCAAAATACGACAGGTGCGCCGTACACCGCCACGACGCGATGCTGGTGCAGCTTGCATTGCGACGCCAGCGCATTAGCCAGCGGCTGCGATGCGCCGGTGATGGCGCCGCCAGGGCCTCCACCGCCGGGGCTGACAGACGCGCCGGGCGAGACGAGGAGCTCGCTTTCCCTCTGCTTCCGCGAACCTACACCACCGCCACCCCGACGAGGCCAAGGGTGGAGATTGGCACGTTCGGGCGCCGCATTGCGGCCTGAACGTGCGCCTGCTTTGCGATTAGCAGCTCCTGTTGGGGGCAATGCGGTGCCGCTTACACACGCAACCGAATAGTCGACGTTTGAATCCGAGTCCGCCGCCGCTGTTGCCCGCGGGCCTGCGGTAGTGGACATCCGTGACGGCTGCTGACGGGGCTGATGCAGCGGCGGTGGCGCAGCCGCTGGCGGTGGCGACTGAGGGGGTGGCGTCGGCGGCTGCCCTTCCGTACTGGCACGCGCCATGTCGGCATCAGCGGCTTCGGAGCTGCGCCTGCGGCCGCCACCGCTTCCCCGAACGGTAATAGGAGTACGCTTGCCGCCGCCTCCAGCGGCGGTTGCGGCCGCCGCGGCCTCGCCATCGTCATCGGAGTCCGTAAGCCGCGGCTTCGACGATGGTGGTGGCGGTGCCGGTGGCGGCAGAATGGGATGTACGAGCAATGTCGTGGATTCAGGTCGGCGTTCGTCAATGCTTGGGGCTTCAGATGTCGGCGACGATGGCCGCCGCTGACGTACGGAGCTTTCGCTCAGCGCGCCCTGGCTGACAGGCCTTATCTTCCCTTCCGCAGATGCTAAGCTCGACAAGCCTCGCTGGCTGTTACGCAGCGGTGATGAGGATGTGGACTCGTCACCGCGGCTGCCGTTGGCGCCTCGGCTACTGCCGACTGTGGCAATCTTGTTGAGGGAATCGCCACGCGACAGTGTGACGGGTCGCGGTGACGATGCGCCACTAGCGAAGGGTGACGCGCCGCGGCTGCCGTTACGGCTGACGGCGTGCTGTAGGTGCGATGAGACGCCGCCAATCTTGCTGCGCAGGCCGCTTTTCGGCGGCAGCGAACGCTGCGTGTCGGCGCTGCCAGGCGCAGCCCCCGTGTCCGTCGCGGCGGCGGCAGTAACGGCATCAGCATCACCCTTGCTATTCTCTGGCCCCGGCGCTGCCGCTGCAGAGCCGACGCTGTCCCCGGAGCCTTCACCCCGAGGAGCCGCCGCCGCTGCAGCTTGCGCCGCGACGTCGCTGCCACCCTGTCCCGCATCCGCCGCGTCCGCCTGCCCCTGCGCGTCCGCCGCTGCTGGTGTGCCAGTCCACAGTACCGCTGGCTCATTGCCATATTCGGCGCTGACCCCGTTGGCAGTATCCTCTGAGAAAGCGAAGCCGTCTGCTGTCTTTGCGGTCGCAATCGCCGCCGCCGCCGCCCCGTTACTAAAAGAAGCCTCCGCGGCAATTACATCTGCAGTTAGCGGTATAAGCACTTCAGACTGGAGGACGAGTGCCTCGCATGCTCCAAGGACCCTACATGAGCAGCAGGCACTCCAAGGGCCCTATGGCCCAACGTGATTCATGGATGCTACGGGCTGCAGCCACTACCAGGCGAAACGTCACATATGCGGGGCGCCTGGCCCACTTTAGTACATCATCTCCCAGTAAAGCGCGTTTAAAGGTCCGGAATAGCCTTCCACTTTAAAAAGGCACATTACCCTGGCGAATGGGATGGGCACCGGGCGCAACGAGACCACTGCCTTACCCACGCTCGTGCTGCCGCTCAGCAGCGCCTTCACGGGGCTGAGTGCTTCGTGCATGTGCAAGGATCCGTGTAGGGAATCCGCTGCCAGGTCAAAGGAATTGACGGCCGGTAGCATTGACGGCTCCGGAACCAGATCTTCGGGCTGCGGATGAAGAGACTTGGGATGGGGGCCGGCTGCAGGGACCCCTGCTGTGGTCGGCCCTGATGCCTCTGCGTCAGCAGGCGATGCCTCCGTCTGAAATGCCTCCACACCTACATCGCCCCCTGCTTCGGTTTGAACGGTGCTGGCGGCGTCGGCGGCATCGGCGAAGCGGAGGCTGACACGCGACAATCGGCTCGCCGCCGCGGCTGTGGACTCCTTTGCAGATTCGCGCTCTGCTTCCGGATCTAGATCCATGTCGCCGCCGTCGACGGCGGCGGCGGCAGCAGCTATATCCGCGTCACCTGTGGCATCTGCGGCCGCACCACCATCCACCGCTGCATCCTCGCGACCCGTACTTCCGACGGATGGCTCCGAGTCCTCTGACGCGGGGCCTGGCGGCGGTGTTGCCGCCTCCGACGCAGAATCGCCGCCGTCAGCGGCGGCGGTGGCGGCATCAACGGCAGACGCCGCTTTGCCGCTGCCACCGGCAGCATCCTCAGCACGGGCACCGGCCGCCTCACCAGCGTCGTGCCGAGCGTTGCGGCTGTTGCCATTTCGCAGAGCCCTTACCAAACTGACGTGCCGCTGCTGCTGGACCCTGCCGCCGCCGCTTCTGCCACCGTCCTTGAGAGAGCCTCCTGCGCCGCCGTCGCTGCCCTCACCCTCCTCCCCTGGCTGCGACCATGGTGACACGGTGACCCCTTTCTTAGATGCGAGCTCCAAGCCCGAGTCGCTGCCGCGGCGACGGCGACCGCTGCCGCCAACACCGGACTCAACAGAGATCACCGTGGCGATGCTGCCGCCGGCAGCAGCGGCGGGGGCACTATCCCCGCCACTGTCGCCGCTTAGCCGCACGGACGAGCCGGAGGGCCCGAAGCTGGGCCGCTGGGCGCCCTTAAGGCCGCCGCGGAGCCCACCGCGTGTTTGCAGAGCGGCACGCGGCATCTCGTTGAGTACCATGGAGCTGGCCGCGGGGCCTATCATGACACGCAGCTGGGAGACCATCTGCGCCTGCGTCACAAGTGTGTTGGCCTCCAGGGGCGCCGCCATTAGCACCTGCAGTTCGTTTCGGGGTTTTGGCATTTTATGGTCCTTTAATTTGATATCGGTTTTGATACAATTTGGTTCCACGTACAGTTTGGTGTCATCACTTGATTCACATAACCACCAAGAGGCTTGGGGGATTTTAGACCCTCAGATCCTTTGCCCCCCACGGCTGTACGGTAATACAGCCGTACCCGGTATGGGATGTACTGCAGCCGCGCCATCGCCGTACCTGCCCTTGTACCAGCAGTACAAGATGTTCTGTGGGCTGGCCGCCCACATACAGCGCCTCGCCGGGTTGGCGCTGGGCGTACGATATGTCACGCATCAGGCCTGCCTTCAGCCGTGCCACTTGACTCGCCTGGTAAAACATGCGGAAGGAGATGCGTTCGTTCAGGGGCAGAGGGAGCAGGTCGGGGTTGATCGAACATACATGTTGCTGCTGCAGAAGACCTCAGATCATTTAATCCTTCCATAGTGTCTCCCACCTGCAGCTCCGGCATAAGCGCCACCACCTTGTCCGCTGCCCACCGCCGTACGGTGGCCTCGTACGAATGCCACGACAATACGGCCAGCTGTGCCTCGAAGTGCGGGTCAGTGGTGACGGTCAGTGGCACGGTTTGGCGGCGCAGCATCAGCTCCATTCCCAATACGGTGCCAGCTTGCAGACGCTGCGATATAGAAGGCAGGAAAAGCCGTGTCGGGTTTCTTATGCGAATGTACGGGAGATAGCACGTCCGTGGCTAGCCAGCCCACACTAACTAACTTCGAAGGGGTGATAGCACAACCGCAACTGGCCCGCCATGGTACGTAGTGTGGCCACTGCAAGGTGACCGAGTGAGGATTGTTGTGCGTGAGGGTATTATTGACCTTTGCGAAGTTATAGCGCCCATACACCGTCGCGCGCTCGGCAACTTGCCGAAACAACTGTTCACGGGCCAAGCGCCCGGGTTCTGGGCAAAACATGCGGTCCCCAGAGCTTACGTGTGGTGGGCGGCCCTCCGCGTGCAGCATCACGGTTCCGCTGATCAGCACAAACGCCTCGTCACAGGCGCAGTTCTGCAAATGAAGCCACGCCAAGGAAAGGGAAAGGCCGAGTACGACATCAGCGGGGTATGCAGATCCTCGTCGAGCAAAGGGGGTACACCAGCCGTGCTCCCTTACCATCAGGAGATGCTCCCATCCAGTTCAGATGCCGGCATATATGCCTTCATAACCCCATCCGGTGACTCCGTGGTCGGAACCCCCCCCACCGGGTTGGCTATGGGGTGTCAGCACACATCCACCTCGCACCGAGCCGCTTAGGTAACTCTTTCATCAATATCACCAATCGACAGTTTAACTGTAAGTGTTCAGCTTATGAACTCCTTTTGCGTTGGTGGAGCTGTATGATGCTTCAATGGCAGTAGAAGCGAGGCCGGTATCCCTGCACCGCCGCGTTCTTTGTCCAATGCCAAAGTGCTGGAAAGCCGTATAGAACTCGACAAGACGCCGGAATACCGCCACTGTGGCGTCGAACTACCGACAAGCTTGACCCGATAAGGAACAACAAACATTTGTCCAATGACCTGGTCATTTGTACGGCTTAAACACGGAGAAATACAGGCGCCGTACCTGTTCGTACAGGTACGACCCGGGAGGGTAGCTGAAGAGTTGGAACTGCTGCGCCACGGCGTTGCGCAGGTCATCACTCAGGCTGCGGCAGTGGTGTTTGGGAAGAGAAGGATTTTTATAAGGATAAGGCAAACGAAGACAGGGGCAAGCCGCGAGGCGAGGGGCAAAGGCACATTGGACGAAACATGAAGCGGGCCAAGTCGGGACAGCCGCCGAAGCGCCAGCCAATCCATGAATGCTCTTGTGCTCCTTGAATTTCCATTCCAATAACACGCCGCTTGACTTACTAGCATACCGTGAGGCGGAACATATCACCGCACCAGCAACTATCGTCTAGTTAGCAGCTGAAATGATATTCAGGAATGGATAAATTTCAGCCTATAACCGAAGACTCCATTTGACGGGCACGCAGCCTCCCAGGACGGCGACGTGCTGCCCCTGATCCACAACCTCCATCCTGGAAAACCTGGCCCGGAATCCGACGCCCTTGAAACCGCTCCGAAACCCCCGGCTTGGAAACGTGCCCCACGGACCCCCCCCCCGAAACCAAATCCCTTTCCAATTTTCACTTACCCCTTCAACTGCTGGATCTGACGCACGATGGCCTGCATGTCGTCCAGGCTGGCACCGCTACGCTGCAGCACTGTCGCCAGGCGGTTGGCGGCGGCTTTGGAGCTGAAGGCGCCGGTCTTGGGCGGCGGCGGCATGGTCACCGTGCTGATGATCGCCTCGCGGTGCTCGGCGGCCTATGGTTCGGTGTGTGGGTTCCAGAGGGTATACGTGAGATACTTCAGCACAGTGTGTAAAGCTTTTGGTTCCTGCCGAACCGCCCCCTGCACATATCTTAACGGGAGTTGCTCGCCGGGATCTTTGGTTGCCTTGTCGCACGAGCCATCACCGTTGCCGGTCCACACGTCGCCCTGTGCGGCTACGGATACCCCCACAACCCTAGACCCTCTTTAGGCACCCTGTTATTGTTAGGGCACGTCAGATCCCCCCCAAGATCTTTATTGCCGGATGCCCTGGCCTCATCGCCTTACTCGGTATCCGGCCCACCTGCAAACGCAGCGACCGGTAGCGGCCTGTCTGAATGGACTGCGTTGCCGCCAGACGCTCCATTACGTTCATCACCGCCGAGCAAAACTTGGCCTCCGGCGTCGGCGGCATGGCCGCCACCGAGGGGTTCACCCGCCGCCCGAACAAGCCGTCTGAAGTGCGGGGCTGCTTCCGAACCAGCAGCGAGCTTTTCCTGCCGGTTGGTGATGTCCCTGTGCCAGCGGTGGCGGCGGTGCTGGTGGCGGCGGTAGCGGCGGCGGCGACGTCGCCGATGGAAGTGCTGCTTCCGAGTTTGACAGGGTGGAGCTTGGTGGCAATAGCGGCGGAGAGGGAGCTGGTCCGCGCCCCTGGGTGCTGCGGTGATGGAGGCGGCGGGCTGCCGAAGAGGAAGGACCAGTCCAGGGGGGCCGTGTTGACGGCGGCTGTGACGATGCAGGCGACTTGGCCGCTCGTAAGGGAGCTGTGACGCGGCGGGCCGAGCGCAAGCGGCATGCTGGTGCGTCCCAAGGGCCGCACGGCATGGTCGGCATCGGGGTCGAGCTCGGGCGAGGCCAGCAATGGAGATGAACGTGGCGGAGAACGTGGGGGAGAACGTGAGGGGGAATGAGACTGGGACTGCGGCAGCGCCTTGTTAAAGGGCACAAGGTACTGTGCATCCAGGTCAATGGGGTGATAGCCGCGCGCCCCTGGACCAAGATAGTAAGCTTCAACGGCCTTGGGTAGCTGTGGGGAGTAAGCGGGCGTTCGGAGCGCGGGTGAAGGGAAGTGACAGGTTGGGATAAAGGACAAGGCCTTGAAGGGGGAAAGAATTTGGCGGTTGGGGGTAGGTGAGGTTGGGCGGTGTTGCACCAGGCTAAAGCTCACCCGTGTCGGTGGGATAGTGGTTGCAAGGTGGTCTGAAAGCACCCGCGTTACTTCCGAGGTCCTGGGTTGTAATGCGTCCCGCTGTCCCCCTTCCTCGGTGGGCCCTTGCGCTGTGCGCGGCGACACAACTTTCGTTTCGGCCAGGTAGCGCGTAAGCGCAGGCAAATGGAAATCCATTGCTCCAGCTTAATGCCAGCCTGCCTCCGTTGGTGTCTCTATCCATGGCATTCCTTCAAAGGTTGGCATGTTCACACCGAGGCCCAGGAGATCATGCACACATACCGCAAAGCCGTATTTTCAGTTTACATCTAGCTAAATTCATATGGGATTCAGGCGCGTTCTGTTACAAATGTCTAAGCGACCTCGACACATTATTAGCCACATGGAGGTACTTAAGTGAGATTTAACAGATTGTTATCATGTTAACGACGCCACAGCTTTCAAGCTTGCAATAACCCACGATTGCAACGAACGCACACTTCGCCTAACGACGTCTTCCGTACTCTTTGTGTTTGACCGGATTCCACCGCTTTTGCTTTGGGAGTTGGTGCATCATGTATAGCTTATGACTTAGACCAGCCATGTAGCTTTTTCATCGTCGCTAACCTTTGGCGTTGCTTATGGACTTCGCTACTCCCAGAGCTCTTCCCGCACGCAGCCATGTACCAGGATGCGTGTGATTATGAATTCCTTATACCTTGGATAAATTTACGGAGCGTGAAATGGAAGGACTAGGATCAAGCTGTGACAACTTCTAGGGCGACGACTCGCGAAAGGGCTAAACACGCGACTGGAATGGGACAGTGCTGGGTAAAGCTCGGCGCTTCAGGTGGTAAGATTTGGGTTGCTTTACGGTCAACCGCAAACCTGATTTGGAATCTCAAACACTCTGGCTTCTCCCACAGACCTTGCAGTGGCCAGCGTAACGGAATCGTACCGAGAGGTAGTGCTGCTGTGTACTGTGCGTGATTTGGGGCCTCCGGACGACAGTTAACAGTTCCGGCACGCAGGGGACATCTTATCGCTTGCGCCACAGCGACGGCCCCCTCAGCAACGAGGAGAAGGCCATAGAAGAAATACTTGGTCCACTTTTTCGTTTGGCCCTCGAGGCGCGGTTTGGACGACAGTTGTGCCTACATGTGTTCACATCTCTAACACGAGTAGCGCGACTATGCCTGGAGGAGCATCCCGAAGGGTAGGTAGCGCGATGAGGGGCTGGGACTTTGGGCCTTGCACAGGCGGCAACCGTGTCCGTCGTACCAGCGGGGATACGTTTTGCCGGGTGGGTAGGCACGCTATCGAAGTCAAGTGGGAACTAGCAGCTACGATCAGGATTGTGAACCATGGAAAGGAGGGTCAAATGCTTCCGCTGGGGGTTAAACGCGGAAACAAAGCTGCTGCACCAAGCAGCCGAGTCACAGATGCGGACACTCGCATGATCACGGTGTCCACGTACCCTACGTCCAAATCCACAGCAGCGCATGTCTCCAAGGCGGAAACTCGCCTGAAGCGCCCGTCAGGTATTCTTGCAGAGCTTTTGTGGTTTGATGAACGACTTGCCCGGATTGGGTTATGTGGCGGTCAGATGAATGTTGGTTTTGATTTGGGTCACGACTCTGCGTTGCTCTTACCGGTGTGTTTTGCTCGTTGAAAAGCAGGCCTTCCGTGGAAGCTCGCTTGGCTCGGCTGCGCGAAACAGCCTGGGAATTCGAGGAGCTGTTGGACAACTTCTCCTCTCGGTGGGTAGCTCATCAACACTGACAGCTGGGAAATGCCGGCGGAGGCATCTTTCATAGCTCTTAAGTATATTTGTGGGAATTGGAGGAATGTTCCAAAGAGACCTTTCAAAACGAACCCAAAAGTTCATTACAATGAGGAGCATGTACCGCGACACTATCGCTAATGCTCTGGAGCGTTGCTCCTTTACCCCTACAGACACCGTGAGACACCAGGCCAGGGAAGTGTAAGTAAACCGTCACCCGTCACTCTCCTGACTCTCCTTACGCCTGCAGAGGCTGGCTGCTCCGGTTGCTGTGTACAACACGTCTCGACGCAGTTGTTAAATGGCGATTGGGTGACTTGGCAGGACTAGAGGCCGAGTTGGCGTCAGTGGTGCAGGGACAGAAGGTCTCCAGCAAGGGCATCACTCCACTGGCACCCGCAGAATCCTTTTTAACTGCCAATGAGGGCAAGAAGCGGCTGGCTGCTGGCCTTCGGCACGCGCGACGTTTACGGGTGCGGCAAATACAGGCACAGCACGATGTATGGTACGGCCGCGTTGCCGCTGATGTACATCTTCTAATTTCTGGGGTTGGGAGATGGTGGCTTCGCTCAAGAACAAAGCTTGTGTTTACTGTTTCCCGTTCTTTATTGGATATGTGTTGTGCTGTTATGCCGATTTGGGTTGCTTCATTTACTTGTGAGCTTTCCATGTTGGCTGTCGAAAAGCATCGCCGCGGACACTGCACGCGCAGGAGGCGCTTCTCAGTCACCTGCCGAGCGTCATGGCACCCCACGGCGCCGCCGGCGACCCCACTGCTATGGATGCTTTCATGCGGCGCATCACGCCTCTAGTGCAGGTAGGCTCTTGGGTCTTAGGCTACATCGGACATTGGTCGTAGCCTGCTTTTCGTCCGCACCCGTCCTCGTCCGGGAAGTGTAGGTAAGTATATCCAACCGCACCAACGCGTTACCCGGATTTGGGTCAGCCGGATTTGGGTCACACGGATTTGGCGTGCACGGATTATAGTCATTGGGCTTCATAGCCCCATAAATGCTGCTGCCTCGGCTACGCTTTCCTTTTTTGCCAATAAGCGTCTTTCGTGGATGCCGCGCCTGCAGGGTGGCGGGGAACCGCTGAGGCAGCTGGAACTTCATGAGGAGGTGCAGGTCAGTCCGGGTTGGTGGGCTCCTGAGACCGCAACTGGGAGCCACCGAAGGGCTGACGAGCCGCCAGCACGGACAGTTCTTGCAACCCATGGGATTGGGGCCCATCGAATTTGGCTTGCCTGTTGTGTAGTCATAAAATGATCAAATCCCGTGACATCGGAGTTTGCCCGGTTAAAAGACCTTCGGGTCAGCGGTGCTGGGCTCCAGCTTGTCCTTCCGTCCCTGTTCCGCCGTTTTAGCTGGAGTCCCTTTCCCCATCCTCGCGATGTTGCGTCCTATGTCCCATCCATACCGCGCGGTCCGGTTTTTGCCCAGATTGGTTGCTTACGTACACCCTGGCATTGAACCACTCTTATGCCTACTTCCATCCTCCGCAGATCGCCGTGGCCTCGTTATCTGTGGGTCCGCACAGAGCGCTCCGGCACCCAGACCTTCAGGTAAGCGTTAGGACTGCGCTGAGAGCCTCGGTGTGTTGCGGCACGGCATGCTGCCTCCGGTGCGGAAAACTTTTGCCATGCCTACGTCAGCTGTCATTTGCTGTATAACCCTTTTTTTTACCGTGATTATTGACGCCAACTTACCTGAACCGGGCAGTACTTTTGGTGGCGTCACATGGCGGGGCTAGAGGAGGTTCCCTGGAGCACGCTGTGGCCGCACCTAGCGACTTTTCTGGGCAATACACCGCGCTTGTCGGACGGCGCTGGCGATACAGGCGCGGCACTAGAGCTGCTGAGGGTACGTTTCGGGACGCCGTGTACGCTTGGGACCAAATGGATAGCCATTGAGCTGGCGGCCGTTGCCGTGGGGTGAAGCAGATGGCTTCCAGGATCGGTGCACAATCCGTGGCCCTGTAGACAAGGTGAAGTTGGCGTCCTGGTCTGGTTCCGGTCTCCTTACACTGACGACCGTGTTTGTCATTCCACCTGCGCGTACGGGACCCGCCTGCCAGCCTGTCAGCTATCAGCTTTTTCCGGGCGCACTCAGCAATTAGAGAGTAAAGGAGTAAGGAAAAGGTCGCAGCAACCCTTGGTCTGTCTAGCGGGGGTTCGTTACCAAAGTCGGAATTTGTGAATTTTGGCGGCGTTTGGCTGACCCTTGCCTACAGTCGCCTGACATGGTCCGCTTGTTGCAAGCCGCCGTTCATCGCATGGGCTATGCAAACTACGTCAATGCGGTGGAGCTGGACATGGCTTTTGGATCCGGAACCGGCAGCCGGGATTGCACGACATTGGATGAGCATCTCAGGTTTCTCGTGTCGCCGGGCAGACCTCTCCTGCTGGCCCGCACAAGCAAGGGTGCTCGCGCTGAGGGCTGGATTAAGGAGGCAGAGGCAGCAGCCGCGGCGGGCAAGTCAGGTGCATCAGCGGTGGCGTATGGCGACGGCAGTTCTGTAACGCGGCGGGGTCCCACGGCCCACGCCGCGGGCCTCGGGGATGAGGAGGATGTATGGTTTGATGCCGGCAGCAATTTCAGCAGGTGCGTGCAGCCGGAGTTATAGCATGTTGCCGCGGCTCTGCTGTGTGAGTTTGGCTTGGAGAAAACTGCAGCAGCCGTTACTAGGGCGGGCGGGTCCCACCAGTTGACGCGCCTGTATCTTCAGCAAAGCGCAGGGCAGCAGCCTCTTTAGTGGTTACTTATCCAAGATTGTTATTAAGTAATGGTGCCCTCAAAAGACCGACCCAGCCTTGGCATTTGACCAGCTGGGCTCGTCGTCAGTTGACTGTTCTCTCACGTTCGCAGGAGCAACAACTCCTCTTGCTTCAAATCCGCTCTGGCCGCCGGTGAGGACCCCAGCGGGACTCGGCCAGGTAGGGTCCACGTATTTCGAGTGTTTCGTTTCATTTACATATAAAGATAATCAACCAGCTTTCAGGCGTACGAGAAGCGTTTTCTGAAAAACCAACCTGATGTATGCTCGTGCCTTCTCCGTGTCCTCCCCTCTGTCCTCTTGTTCGTCTTGTCTTGGCCAGGTATTGTCAACGGCCCCTCCCCTTTGATTTCCCACTTATTCCCAGGTCGTATGAATTCGAGCCGTCATGTCAGCCAGGCGGTGCTAGCTGCAGGCTTCGAGGAGACCCCCCGAAACGGCCCAGATGGCAGTCTCGCGCCGAACGCAGCATACACGGCGGGGATGGGAACGGGGTTGTTAGAGTGTCGGCTCGTGAGCCGGTGGCCATCTCTGCAGCCGCTGCGACACAGAACGGCAACTGGTAGGGACAGCGCCAGGGACGCCAAGGAGTTTGAAGCTAAGCCCCCAGGCGCGAACGGTTCTGGGGGGTACAACGCAT